TGCCGCTGCTGCTCTCGGTGGTCATCGGCATCCTCTTCCTGCTGCCCCTCCTCTTCACCTCAACCACCATCTTCCCTCTCCCCCTCTCGTTTCCTCTTCCCTCTCCCCCTCTCGTTTCCTCTTCCCTCTCCCCCTCTCGTTTCCTCTTCCCTCTCCCCCCTCCCTTTCTCCCCTCCCTTCCCCCTCCCCTATCCTCCCCTGCCTGCTCTCACCCTCAGGCGTATGCTCTAGCCCGTGACAACGGCCTCCCCCTATCCTTCCTGTGGCGCAAGCTGGCGCCCAACAAGGTGCCCGTGCTGGCACTCCTCCTCTCTGTGGTCATCGGCGTTCTCTTCCTGCTGCCCCTCCTCTTCACCTCAACCACCATCTTCTTCGCCATCGCCTCCATCTCAAGCATCGGATGGGTGTCCGCGTACTCCATTCCGATATTTTTTCGGCTTATTCAGAAGGAGGACCACTTCCAGCCCGGCCCGTTCTACATCCCGAATTACATCGGGGTCGTCGGCGGGTAAGACAAGATCTCTGGTTCTCTGATTTTCAGCCGGGCCCGCTCTCTGATCTCGGGACCCTCACACACAGTAGTTGGTGGGTAAATCTTATCCAGGGCCCCTCCTCTTCACCTAACTAAACCACCATCTCCGTTGCCATGGCCTCCATCTCAAGCATCGGATGGGTGTCTGCCTTGCCTTCTCCATCCATCCCCATCTTCTTCCACCTCTTTCAAAGGGAGAGGAGGCAATTGTTTTCAGCCAGGCCCGTTCCATCTCAAACGGGAGGATTGTTTTCAGCCAGGCCCGTTCCATCTCAAACGGGAGGATTGTTTTCAGCCAGGCCCGTTCCATCTCAAACGGGAGGATTGTTTTCAGCCAGGCCCGTTCCATCTCAAACGGGAGGATTGTTTTCAGCCAGGCCCGTTCCATCGCAAACGGGAGGATTGTTTTCAGCCAGGCCCGTTCTACATCCCGAGTTGGGTTGGGGTGGTCAGCCGGATAAGATCTGTGATTCTTACCAATGATCCCCTGATCTTTGTTGTACTCTCTCATTCTTGTTTTTCTGCAGTAGCATTCCAGTTTGTCCTTTTGAGTCGACTCAAAAGTAGATATGCCATTCGTCTGCAGTTACTGTCTGGGCCTCTTATCCCTGTCCTTGCGCTCCCTACCCCCCACTTCCCCTCACCTCCCTGAAGTGATTTTTGAGAATTCTAAAAAATGACTCCACTGTACTGCAGCGTTGTCCGTGCGAGAATAATCTAGTTTTGAGACGTCTGAAAACTCTCCCCCACTTTCCCCCCTGGGCAGCAGAGTCGTCCATATCTTGCTACCCTCTGCCTTCCAGTTGTCCACGTCTCTCCACTCATCTACCTCCGTCCCTTCCCCACTCCAACCCACCCCCACCCGTCCCCTCCCCACTCCAACCCACACCCCCCGAGCAGGAAAGTCGTTCACTTCCTGGCCCTTCTGTGGGTTCTCTACACCACGATAGTCCTCATGCTGCCCTACGCCTTCCCTGTGACCGCATCGCTCTTATTAACCTCTTTCCCTCCCCACCCCCACCCACCCCCACCCACCCCCACCCACCCCCACCCACCCCCATCCATCCCTTTCCACCCCCATCCATCCCCATCCACCCCCATTTACCCACCCCCCACCCCCCCGAGCAGGAAAGTCGTTCACTTCCTGGCCCTGCTGTGGGTTCTTTACACTATGATCGTCTTCATGCTACCCTACGCCTTCCCTGTGACCGTGGAAAACTTGAACTGGGCCCCGGTTGCGATCGCGGCTTGGATCGGTTTTTTTGTTACTTGGTGGGTGGTGCACGCTCGCTTCTGGTTCAAGGGGCCTGTCCGGGAGATTGTGCCTATTACGGAGGGGGATGGAGGGGATAAAGTAGCGGAAGGTAAGATGGAATGATGGAGAGTGCTAGGTGGATAATGGCGTGACGATGTGGCAAACCCTTGAACCGGGTGTAGATCGCCATTGTAGCTTGAATCGGTGTCTTTGTGATGTGGTCGGTGGTTCAAGGGGCCTGTTTGGGAAATCGCTCCTGTTGTGGAGGGGGATGAAGGGCTAAGCGGATAGGAAGATGGAATGATTCTGCAGGTTGTTGATATGGTGTGGTGCGAAAAGCCATTGGTTGACATATTCTCTTCTTATCCCCCTTATGCCTAGGCACTTTGGAGGCAGACTAGGGAAAATGTATCTACCTGCATTTTAGGATACGGTATGAACCTTAGGGCTTGTTGCTTCAGGTCGAAGCAAGTTTCTAAGCAGCAAGAGTTGCTAGCTATCACTTATCACCACACTAAAACGTATTGAATCCCACATGAATATGTTGTACCCATCTGAAAACCGAGTCTAGGATCGGTCTTCAGATTGAACCCCCTGGGTTGTAACTTGTAACACGCCCTTCTTACGTACCCGGTGTCATGCTCACGCAACGTGACAGTGGTTCTGCTCTTTGTGAACTCCCTTGGCGTCAAAATTGTTCGGAATTGGCCCGAATTTGGCGTCCTATTCTGTGCTCCCTCGTTCCTTGGTTCCTTCCTTCCTTCGCTCCTTGCGCCGACGTGTCTCCAAACGAAGCCCACCTGGCCTGTTGCTTTCACTGACCCCAAATCTCGAATCTCCAACTACCCTTGAATCCTACCCTGATCTGCAAGCCAGAAGGACCCCACCCTAATCCAGCCTGAACCGCCACCCACACAAACCACCCGCAGGTCAGTTTTCTCTAGCGAACCGATCCTAACCGAACAGACTCGGGCAGGCTGTCACTGCTTGCGCGTGTCTGTGACCTGTCCAGCCCACGTTGCCCGCTGGCGTCTGGTTCTGCGCGGCTGGATGCTCTTCCGCCTTCCGCTCCGCAAAAACTTGGGTTTTTAGGTTAGCGGTAACCCTTACTGGAGTTTTACACTTTTGAGTAACATTTAGCCCTTTCACGGAAGGGTTTTGCATTGTTCCAACCCTCCCGGGCCAGTTTTTTTGTTCTTTGAGGTTAGTTCGCATCACAGAAAACCACGCGTCACAATCTCCTTGCTCCGTCACTTTGGGGCTACTGAACTCTGTTTTCCTGCGATATTGTGGGATCTGTAGCGCTACTGAAAATGGCTGACAACATTCGGGCAGGCTAGCTGGCAAGAAAAAAACTAAAACCCATAGGGGCGAGTATGCCATTCTGGTTGGCATCAACCCTAAATTCGTGGCCCTTTTTCGAGTTTAGGGTTGATGCCATCCAGAATGCCATGCCAGGCCCATAAGGGTTTTATTGTTTCTGCCCTCTGCCCAAGATTAAGGAGATTGTTACACGTGGTTCGCTGTGGAGAGAACTAACCTCGAAGAACAAAAGACTGTCCCTGGGGGGTTTGATCGGCGAGAAACCCTTCCGTAATAGGGGCTAAACGTGATCCCAAAGAGTAAAAAGCTAGTAAGGGTTACCGGTAACCTAAAAACCCCAAAAGGTTTCCCCACTGCTCCCAGTGATCCCATCCCAAATGCCGAATCCCGAGTCCCGATTCCCCAGCAGGGCATTGAACTCTCCCGCACTTACCGCCATTCCGCCCCATTGCCTGCCAGCCAGTCCTGCGGCTCAAAATCCGATCATCGAATCGCGCGGTTCTCGAAGCACAGCCAAATTCGCGGCTTGGGAGGACAGATTCCCCCATCCACTCCTTTTGCCCTTATGAATCAGCCCCCATCCTCAGGGCATCTCCCTCAGCCATTTAGGGCGTGGGACATCAGGTCTGTTTTGCCCTGGTCCGGGTCATTCGTATGGTTTGGAGAACGTCACATTACGGACGCGGTACCCCCCAATGTTCGGAAAGTGAACTTGCCAACAAGACCCATTGTCCCACGCCATTAGGGCGCGCTACAATGCGTCCGTTTCGGAGGATCGCGGGATTTTTTTTTTCGATTGTCTGCTTTTTAAGGATATCGATTCTGACTCATTAAAAACGATCTGCGATATCGATCAAGTGCGCGATATAGCCGTGTTCCAGATTTTCAACTTTCGATCTCTAGTATCGTTTTGCAGCTGGCCAGCATGGCATTTCGCATAGAACTTCGTGAAAACCCAGCAACCCTCCCAGGACAGTCGCAATTTCCAACACCCACTAAACCGCGACTCGAGTCCACCCAACAGTTTTCGCAATGGCGATTTGGCGAATCGCGTTTGTTTTCGTTTCATTTGGGGCAAGGCAATCTGGGACTTCGTCAAGGAGGTTCGTTAGTGTTTTTAGATGTGCGATTGATTCCCGGTTTGGTTTCGAAAGTGATCCTGCCCTCCGATCTACTACATTACTATTTCGAGGCTTTTGTAGCTGACGGGTTACCAGCTTTCTACAATGCCAAGATCGGAAAATGATCGGAGAACTGGAAGCTATGTAGCGCGTCCTCCCTCTCCCTTCCTTCCCGCCCATGCTTCTCATGAATGCGCCTTCCGCTCGTCCTTCTGTTCTGTTCCATCCCACCCCGTTCCCAACCCTCGGCCCCACTCATCTCAAGAATGCCTCCTCAAGGCTAATGCTTGCCGCGGAATCGCCCGAATCTAATTAAGTTTCCAGGTTTTTTGTTTTTAATATCTGTCTAAACCAGGGTATCTTTCCATGTATCTCATGAAATGAAAGAAGCTGAAGTATTAGCCAGCATTCGCGGAGAATTCTCGGAACATATTTTCGGGTTTGTTGTCGGCCTACCGATACGCGAAATGTGTCTACCACCATCCCCAAGTGCCATCGAAATTATCCGACCAGACCCCAAACCACCAGGGCATTCCGGTCCTGTTTGCGCAAAAAAAGCGTTCTGTTATTTTCTGAGACTCAGAGTGTTCAAGTACACCCGATCCGTAAACCTTTTATTCGCCCGTTAGTTCCCTGGAGGGTTGCTTTCTCGAATCTTTCGAGAAGGCTGCCTCGAAGATCCCTCCCTTTCCCCCTTCCCTGAAAAATCACCATCCTCCATCATCGAAATGGATAGCCAGCCAAGCTCGATAGCGAAGCTCGATATTTCATCCTCCGGCAAGCAGGACTAAACCGCATGCAGCACCATGGCTCCCAGTAATTTCGTACCTCTTTTGTCGTTAAAAATTATCTTCCGTTCGCTTTGGAGTATAGTGTACTAGAACGGGTAGATAGCACCTGTGAATTCTACGATACATCTGCGTGCAGCTAATCTATTCTGGGAAATTCATCCTCTCAGTAGCGAGGAGCTCTGAGCTCATCGCATAATCGACTTTCAAAGTCGAAGTCGTAAACAGTCGTAACTTTCGGCAAGTTGCCAAGGGATTCCGAAGTCGTGAACAGTCTGAGGCGTTTCCGCACTTCCACGTTTCCGCGTTCCCGAATTTCCACGTTTCCGCATTTCCGCATTTCCGCATTTCCGCGTTTCCACATTTCCGCGTACGCAGTACTAACTCCTCGCGGAGGTAGCCGCGGCTCATCTGCTAGTAGCGATGGTAGCGATGGTAGAAGACGTCGACGAAATAGAAGCGACGGCCGGCGATGCGAAGGAAGCCGGAACGGGCGGTGACGGCGGTTGTGCTGACGTGGACCATGATGATGGCGGCGAAGCTTCGCGGCGGTTGCCACGTGGCGAGGAGATGAAGCTGTACACGGAGGCGTCCGCGTTTGAGGGCGCCGCGGTAGTGGCGATGATCCAGCGGCGCGACGAGGAGGTCGGAACGGAGCAGAAGATCCTTCAGATCACCATGGAGGACGGAATCACCCTCTCCGTCGAACTAGACCCGGCGGAAAAGAGGTTGAACGAACTCGGATACCGACAAGAGCTCCGACGCTCGCTGGTGAGTTGTATAGCTGCATTCCAAACTCTGTGGGACCCATCTTCTGAGGCGCTTTCAGCAGCAGAAGGTCCTTGAGATCGCCGTGGAGGACGGGATGGCTCTCTCCTTCGAGCTAGGCCCGGCCGAGAAGCGCTTGAACGAGCTAGGGTATGCACAGGAACTCCGACGCTTGCTTACCAGTGGTAAGCTCTAACCCTTGAGATCTCCATGGACGACGGGATGACTCTCTCCGTGGAGCCAGACCCGGCAGAAAAAGAGGCTGAATGGGCTGGGGTACCGACAACAGCTCCGACGCTCGGTGGTGAGTTAATTTTTGCATGTTCATTCCAGCACCATTGATTTACATGTGAAGCAGAAGATCCTTGAGATCGCCATGGAGGACGGAATCACTCTCTCCGTAGAGCTAGATCCAGCCAGAAGCAGCTGAACGAGCTGGGGTACCGACAAGAGCTCCGATGGTCCTGGTAAGGTAAGCTGTGGTGGTGCCTCCCCTAACTTCTTGTCCCCCCCATTTCCCCCGACTTCCCATTCCCCCGTCTTCCCATTCCCCCGTCTTCCCATTCCCCCGTCTTCCCATTCCCCCGTCTTCCCATTCCCCCGGAGTCCCCCATTGTCCCTTCCCCCACCTTGTGATCTCTCCTCGCAACGCCTCTGTTCCCACCGCCACCTTGGGCTGTATCTCAGTAGCGTGTCCCCCATGGCTGGCCGTCGCCGCCTGCGCATGTGCACGCTTCTTGCCTTCGGTGCCTGCACATGTGCACGCTTCTTGCCTTCGCCGCCTGCACATGTGCACGCTTCTTGCCTTCGCCGCCTGCGCATGTGCACGCTTCTTGCCTTCGCCGCCTGCACATGTGCACGCTTCTTGCCTTCGCCGCCTGCACATGTGCACGCTTCTTCCCTTCGCCGCCTGCGCATGTGCACGCTTCTCGCCTTCAGTGCCTGCGACCCAAACATCCCCAACCACCCCCTTCCCCCCACCCCACCACTGCACCATTCCCTTGCACCCATTTTTTACCCATCACCCCTCCTGCTCTTCCCAGCGCTTCCCCGGGCTGTACGCAGGGGGCGTGTCATTCATGCCTGCCTGTCTTACGGGCTTCGCTTGTGGATGTGGCCCCACTTCCCCCTAGCCCCGCTTCCCAGTGCTCCTGCCCATGCACCCTTGCGACCCCCCCTTTCTCTCCTCAGCGCTTCCCCGGGCTGTACGCAGTGGGCGTGTCGTTCATGACGGTCTTCGCTGGGTTCGTCCCCACCTACGCGTACGTCCCCTGCCACCCCACGTGCACGTCCCCTGCCACCCCACGTGCACGTCCCGTTCCCACCCACCCACCCACCCGCCCACCCACATGTGTGTAACATGTCCCCTGCCTACGCTCACGGTTCCATCTGCGTTTTTCCGCCTGCTACGCCAATTCCGATCCCACATGCTTGCGCTATCCAACTCTGCAACCTCCTCCTTCTGCTCCGTCTCCCCTGCCCCTCTGCACCTTCTGCTCTCCACCCTCCCCCTTTCCTGTTTATTCTCCAAGCAGCCAGGGTTTCATCAACGGCGGGCCAGCGGGACTCATCTGGTACTGGTGGATCACCACCCTCGTTGTCACACGCAGAGCGCTAGTATGTGCTGCGCCCTCATTGCTAGTGCACCCCCCCTTTCGCCCGTCCCCCCGTCCCCCCGCCCCCCCGCCCCCTCCTCCCTCGCTCCCCTTCTGCAGCCAGGGTTTCATCAACGGCGGGCCAGCGGGGCTCATCTGGTACTGGTGGATCACCGCCTTATTCGTCCACCTTATAGGCGTCTCCATGGCGGAAATAGCGTCCTCGTTTCCCGTGAGCATACGCTCCACTGCCGTTTGTTACCGCACTTCACCGCACTTCACCGCACTTCTCCACGTTCGCTGCCTTCACTGCTCCACAGATTCTGCCCCACTTGCTCACTGACCACCTCACCCACTTAGCAATCATCCCTGCCTTCCCCCCTTCCTCCTCTTCCCCCCCTCTCCCCTCCCTACACTCCACCTCCTCCCCCCTCCCCCTCCACCCCTTCCCTTCCCCCTCTCCTTGCTCCAGACAGCTGGCTCTCTCTACTTTTGGGCGGCAGCACTGGCAGGGCCACGGTGGGGCCCACTGGCGTCATTTATCACAGTGAGACGCGATCTGATTTGATTTGATATGTATAGGATATAGATTCAGCCACGTGATTTGTTTTATAGCCAGACGCTTGGCTTCTCTGCTCCTTGCCCGAGTCACTACAATCAGGTTCTTCCTGCACCATACAGAAACCATCTGTGCCCCTACACTCAACCGCTTTCCACCGCATTGCATCTGACTCCACCGCATGTCGCAGGGCTGGATTGATTTTTTGGGCTTGGCAGTGTGCGAAGCCAATGTGTCGTATGGCAGGCTCTCCTTACTTACTACATCGGATTTTAAAGGAGACCCCTCTGTACTGCATTGCATCTGACTCCACCGCATTTCATCTGACTCCACCGCATTTCACAGGGCTGGATGGAATTCTTGGGCTTGGCGGTGTGCGGAGCCAATGTGTCGTATGGTGGCTCAGTCATCCTGCAAGTGCTGATTCTCATTTCCACCGGTAAACACACTTCCACTTGCACTCTTGAGCGCACATGGGAGTTTCGGACCTGGCGGTTCGCAAGTGCATGCACATGTATGTGGGGGGCCAATGTGTCGTATGGTGGCTCGGTCATCCTGCAAGTGCTCACCCTCATATCCACCGGTACACACATGCTCACCTCGGCACGTGTGTACATGCACATGCACATTTATGGATGAGTTATCATCGTCTCTATACCATACACGATATGTCATCCCATCTCATGCTCATGCCCCATGCCACTATGTGCCACATCATGCTATTCCATACCACCCCATCCCACGCCACCCCATCCCACCCCACCCCTCCCCGTTCCTTCCACCCAACCCAACTCACAGGTGGTCCTGATGGCGGTGGTTTCCTCTTTACCGTCTCTCACCCCATCCCAACCCATCCCAACCCATCCCAACCCATCCCACCCCGTTCTACCCTGTTCCAGCACCCAAACACCAGGCGGTGCTGAGGGCGGCTGCTTCCTCTTGAGCAAGTACTCCGTCTTTGCCATCGCCCATCCCGTCCCATCCCACCCCGTCCCACCCAATCCCACCCCAGCCCACCCCGTCCCACCCCGTCCCACCCCATCCCACCCCGTCCCACCCCGTCCCACCCCGTCCCACCCCGTCCCACCCCGTCCCACCCCGTCCCACTCCGTCCCACTCCGTCCCACCCTGTTCATTGCACCCAACCCACAGGCGGTGCTGAGGGCGGCGGCTTCCTCTTGAGCAAGTACACCGTCTTTGCCATTGCGTGCGCGTTTGTGCTCATCTGCTTCCTCATCAACTGCCTGCCAGTGCGCACCGTGGCAAACGTCATGGTCGCCTCTTCTTTCATTCAGGTGAATCCTCCGCTGCCCTGCTGCCCTGCTGCCACGCTGCCCTGCTGCCACGCTGCCCTGCTGCCACGCTGCCCTGCTGCCACGCTGCCCTGCTGCCCTGCTCTAGTGGCATCCTATCATGCTGCCTCTAGTGGCCCCCTCCCATGACGCGCCATCGTCGGTGATTTGGGTGATTTGGGTGATTGGGGTGATTGGGGTGATTGGGGTGATTGGGGTGATTGGGGTGATTGGGGTGATTGGGGTGATTGGGGTGATTGGCAGCAGTGCCGCAGTCCCGCTTCTGTCTCGCCCTTGCCTCGCCCCTGTCTCGCCGTCTCCCCCTTCTCTCAGATTGCAGCACCAGTCATTCCCATCCCATCCTATCACTGCCTCTACTAGCCTCCACCCACGAGCCGGCATCGTGGGTATTTGGGGAGTTTGGCGAGAGCCATAGTAATCCCTTGTCGTTGGCCTCGCAATTCCTCCCTCCCCTGTCCCCTCGTTTTCCCCACTCTCCCTCTCAGATGACAGCAGCTGCCATTCTGATCATCATGCTGCCCCTGGTAGCCCCTCCCATCAGCCCGCGACATGCATGGGTGCTGGAGAGCTGCACAGTTTGGTGCTGGGTGTGTCAGCAATCTTCATATTGCCCCATATTCTCGCCCTTGTGCCGCCCTCTACTCGCCCTTGTGCCGCCCTCTACTCGCCCTCCCTCTCAGATCACAGCAGCTGTCGTTCTGATTGTCATGCTGCCCCTGGTGGCGCCTACCCACGAGCCCGCATCGTGGGTGTTTGGCGACTTTGGCAACAACAGAGACACCACACTGACGCCAAGCAATGTGAGTTTGGGGTTTGGCAGTGTGAATGACCGAGCATTGTTATGTGAGATGAAAATCCAAACTTAGCAGAGACACCATGCTGACGTCAAGCAATGTGAGTCCGGGGTTTGGCAGCGTGGGCTTGGCTTGGGTTGCTTCTTAGGTGCTTTGGTTGGCATCGTGGGTGTTAGGCGACTTTGGCAACAACAGAGACACCATGCTGACGCCAATCAATGTGAGTCTGGGGTTTGGCAGTGCGAGTGGCTGAGCATTGTTATGTGAGTTGAAAACCCTAAGTCTCGCCACGCGATGTGAGTCTGGAGTTCAGCAGCGAGGGGACTTTTGAGTCGACTCAAAAGTGTTGTGTGACATTGTAACGAGGCGAGTCGACTCAAAAGTGTTGTGTGACATTATAACGAGGTGAGTCGACTCAAAAGTGTTGTGTGACATTGTAACGAGGTGACTTTTGAGTCGACTAAAAAATCCAAAGTCACGCCATGCGATGTGAGTCGAGAGTTGAGCAGTGTGGGCTTGGAGGTTACCAGAACGAGTTTTGTGGTTCTTCTGACGAGTTTCAGAAGCCATAATGCTGTGTTTTCGGGGAGTTTGAGGAGTTTGGAAGCAACAGGAGACACCACGTTCTCACTGAGCTATGGGAGAACAGTACGAGCATTAATAGGAGGCGCTTATCAGCCAAAGTTTGGAGGCTACCTGAACGACTTAGAGGTTAATTAGAGGCGCTTCAAAAGGCATCATGGGTGTTTGAGGAGTTCGTTCATCAGCATTCTCCTCGTCTCCCATTCACCCTCTAAAGCTACAACTGTGTGTCTTGGGCCATCAGGCAGTTCCCATTCCTTCCTAACCTCCCTCCCCCCCTCCGCACCCACCCCACGCCCTTCCCGATGCCTATGCTTTCATCAGCACTCTCCCCGGCTCCCAGTACTCCCTCTACGGCTACAACTGTGTGGCCCGCCTGTGCACAAATGAACAGTTTCCATTCTCCCCTCCCCCCAAATCTCCCTCTTCCCCCCCCCCCCTTCCACCCCCCCCAAGAAAAATCCTCTCCTTCCCATTTCACAGGTCTACTCGTTCCTCATCGCTCTCCTCGTCGCCCACCACTCCCTTTTGAGTCGACTCAAAAGTCAAAAGTCATCTCCCTCTACGACTACGACTGCAGCTGATCCTCCCGCCATCTCTTTCCCCCTTCCCGTGTTTCAGGCGTATTCGTTCCTCATCACTCTCCTCGTCTCCCAGTACTCCCTCTACGGCTACGACTGCGTGGCGCATCTTGCAGAAGAGACAAAAAAGGCCGACCGGACGGCGCCCCTCGCGATTATGTCCTCGCTCTCTACCGTCACCGTCCTGGCGTGGCTGCTGGTGGTGGTGCTGACGTGGAGCATCCAGGATCCAGCTCATCTGTTTGCAGCAGAGAGCGTGACAGGTGGCATGCAACCAGTGGTGCAAATCATGTGGGACGCGTTTTATGCTCGGTGAGAACCAAAATTGGGGAGAAGAGACGCTTGTTGCTGCCCACAGGAAGCTGATTTCGAGGCGCTTCAAAAATCATGTTGGCTGCCATGTTCTGCTCGGTAAGATGTAGGGAGAGGAGACTCCTGTTGATCACGCTCTGCAATTCGACACACCTTTTACACTTGCTCCGAGTTTTGAGGTGCTCCTTGCCTCTTTTTGAACCTCACAGCTTCACTGTAAGCCTGAAAGAATGCTGTGCTCTCCACATACCATGCTCTCCGCATACCATGCATTCTGCATGCCATGCCATGCAATGCATGTCAACCCACAAACCCGTCCTTCTCCATCCACCCCTTTCCCAACCCCCACTCTCCCCTCCTCCCGCCCCTCCCTCCCCGACCCTCCCCTGCAGGTACGGCTCTGGGTTGGGAGTGCAGGTCTTCACTGTGGTCATTTCTCTCTTCCCCTGCCAATTCTCCTCGTCCCCTTAGCTGCCCCTACTTCTCCTCTCCTCTCCTCTCCTCTCCTCTCCTCTCCTCTCCTCTCCTCTCCTCTCCTCTCCTCTCCTCCTCCCCCCCTGCAGCTACGCCTCTGGGTTGGGAGCGCAGGTCTGCACAGTGGTCATCTGCATTTCCTTCGCGTCCTGCCGTTGTTCCTCGTCCCCGTAGTCATCCCCACCATTTTCTCCCTTCCTCTCCTCTTCTCTCGTCTCTCACACAGCTACGGCTCTGGGCTGGGAGCGCAGGTCTTCACTGTGGTCATCTGCATTTCCTTCTTTGGCGCCACCCTGTCATGCCAGCTCGGGGCATCTCGAGTGGTAAGCTCCTTTCACACTCGACCAAAAGAAAGGCCTCCTTTTGAGTGGTCATCTCCATCTCTCTTTTACGTTCAACTCTCTCATGCCAGGTCACGGCTTCTCGACTGGTGAGTCTGTTACCTATTGCCGCAATTGCTGTGTTACGTGTTACCGCTTCCTCCTCCCCTCCCCCCCCGACTCCTCCCCAACCACCCCCCAGTCCTACGCCTTGGCTCCGGACGGCGGCCTGCCCATCTCCTCGCTCTGGCGCTGCCTCTCCTCCAACCGCGTGCCCGTAGCTCTCCTTCCCCATTCCTCTCCCCCCATTCCCCCCCCCACCACCTTTCACCCACTCCTCCAGGCCTACGCCTTGGCTCGGGATGGCAGCCTCCCTTTCTCCTCACTCTGGCGGCGCCTCTCCTCCAACCGCGTGCCCATAGCAGCCCTCTCCCTCGCGGTGCTCATCAGGCTGCTCTTCCTGCTCCCAGTCCTCGCCTCTTCCACCCTCTTCTTCGCCCCCTCTATCTATACAAGCTTGCATATTCCTCATCACTCTTGTTGCTCCCCCGTCCTCCTTTCCTTCCCCTCCTCTCTTTCCCCCATCCCCCTCCCCTCCCCAAACACTCCCCCAGGCCTACGCCTTGGCTCGGGACGGCGGCCTGCCCTTCTCTTCCCTCTGGCGTCGCCTCTCCTCCAACCGTGTCCCCATCGCGGCCCTCTCCCTCTCGGTGGTCATCGGGCTGCTCTTCCTCCTCCCAGTCCTCGCCTCCTCCACACTCTTCTTCGCCCTTGCATCAATCTCCACCATCGCATGGGTCTCGGCGTATTCTGTTCCGATCTTTTTCCGATTCGCGCAAAAGGAGAAGCATTTTCCCCCGGGGCCGTTTTACCTGCCCAACTACATCGGAGTCACGGGCAGGTGAGACCTTTTCCTCTATTTTTTTGGAAAATGGTGAAGGGTTGACCTGGTGGGAGGTGGGATTGTAGGGTGTTGGGGAGGGGGTTGCACGAATGGAAAAGGATTGGAGACACGGTGGAGGTGGTGGTGATGTGGGAGAAGTGGTGGTGAAATTTATTGGCATGTCATGTCATGGGTACTTTGCGACAATTGATTTCCTCACAGATTCATCTTTCCCACTGTCTCCTTACATGTGTAGAGCTCATATCCTCTCCCCCTTTCCCAACTATCACCCTCCACATCCTTGGCCCCCTCATGTACTTCTATTTTTCTACAGTAAACTTGTCCATCTACTGGCACTATTATGGGTCCTATACACCCTCATCGTCTTCAACCTCCCGACAATGTTTCCAATAACCGTTGAGAATTTTAATTGGGCGCCGGTGGCAATCGCTATATGGATGAAAATGTTTATTGCATGGTGGCTGCTCCATGCTAGGTTTTGGTTCAAAGGGCCAGTTAGGGAATTCGAACCCACTCCGGGTAACTCAAGAGTTGGAAGCACCAAGGGATTTTGAGGATTGCTTTGGATTGTTGAATGTGTGCAAATGCACATTATGATTATGAATGTGTGGTTTTCAGTGAATGTCGTTCGCGCTACATCGCAATATTCATTAGAGGCGGAATTCTCAAGGTCATCTTCGCCTTGGGAAACCCACGCCCTACAGACTACGTCGTGGCGTGGCGATCATCGTTTCACCCAAATCAATTGCTCTTGATACGGATGAAGGCGTGGTGTCTAGCATTCGAATAGCCTCCGTCCGAACTTTCACCACTCTGTACCACGCGATCGGTTAGAGCAGGCTTCGTAAGAAACCACTCGTACGCTTGAGACATGCTTGATTTCTCGTCTTCGGACTGGTCTGCTTGGCGGGACTCCCGTATCGCGTACAGCAGCGCGATCGAGTCGCTCGCGAACCCCAAGCTCGCCGCTCTCGACGTCTTCTATTGCGACGAGCTTCCTCGGCGGTTGCAGCAGCGACAGCGCGGTGGCGAGATTGCTTATAACGAGGACACTGAAGGGGGGGTTGCTGCAGGGGTGGGTACGGAATCGGGAGATGTTGAAAATGAGGACGCAGAAGCGGGAGATTCTAAAGCTGAAACTTCCAGACGGGGGAATAAACGCGAGAATGCTAAAGGGGGGAGTAAGGGCGAGACTACCAAAAGTAGGAACACGAGACGCGGAAATAAAAAAGGCGAGGACACGGGCCTTGAGGGTACCGAAGGGCAGCGGCACGGTGGCAAGGGTGGCGTTTGCGTCAGCAAGGAGGGAACTGGTCGAGCTTACGTCAGCAAGGAGGAGCTGGTGTCGGTGATGGAGTGGAAGCTGACACGTGGCAAGTGGCGGTTAGTTCCTCAACACGACCCCCACTCCCTCTCCCCCTCGCTTTTCCTTACCTCAACACCATCTTTCACTCACCCTCCTCGCAACACAGTCCCTCCTTCACCCCCCACCTCCCCCCCTCCCCCCTCCCCCCCCTCTCCCTCCTCTCCCTCCTCTCCCTCCTCTCCCTCCTCTCCCCCCTCTCCCCTCTCCCCCCTCTCCCCACTCTCCCCCTCCCTCTCCCCCCTCTCCCCACTCTCCCCCCTCTCTACCCTCTCCCCTCGCCCCCCTCCCCCCCTCCTCTCTCTTGCCCGCTTCAGCCCGCGTCTCCTGGACTTCATAAAGCATCTAGACCCCAATAGTGCTGTATGGCTTATGTCAAAATATGGCTGCAAACCCCCATTCACCCACAACCTCCCCCCTCACTTCAACCTCCCCCCTCACTTCAACCTCCCCCCTCACTTCAACCTCCCCCCCCACCTTCTCTTTCCCCCTTCCAGCCCGCGTCTCCTGGACTTCATAAAGCAGCTCGACCCCAATTCCGTCCAAACTGCATCGTCCCGAGCCTTCGCTGCCCTAGCACAATGCCACACCTTCGCCAACCGTGGAGGTTCGGATTCAGGTTCGGAAGCACAGTCAGAAGCAGGCGTAGAAGCGTGTCTGAAGACGGCAGTAACGGAATTGTCAGCGCTGAAGGGCGTTGGGCCGGCGACAGCATCGGCAGTGCTGGCTGCGTTCGCCCCTGAAATAGCTCCGTTTATGTCAGATGAGGTGAGCTTCACATACGTCAGTTTTGAGTCTCTGAGAGAGATACATAGTGCTGGCTGCGTCATGTTACATGCACATGGAGGCCTGTTTCTTCGTCTGGTGGCTGCCTCTCCAGCCATCCAGCCCTTCTTCCTCACAGCGCTCTCATCAGGGGTGGTGACAGCATCGGCATTGCTGGCCGCGTTTGCCCCTGAGATAGCTCCGTTTATGTCAGATGAGGTGAGAGTTGAGAGTTATGCAGAGAGATACTACCAGTCCATGCAATGGAACTGTGTGTAATGAGTCGATTTTTTAGTCGACTAAAAAAAGAGATGCTACCAGTCCATGCAATGGAACTGTGTGTAATGAGTCGATTTTTTAGTCGACTAAAAAAAGAGATGCTACCAGTCCATGCAATGGAACTGTCAGCGCTGAAGGGTGTTGGGCCGGCGACAGCATCGCAGTGCTGGCCGCGTTCGCCCCTGAGATAGCTCCGTTTATGTTCGTTGAGGTGAGTGGGTTGAGTTTCGGAGAGAGATACTATTGGTATATGGAGACATGTTTCTCTGTCTGTTGCTGCCTCCCGGCCATCTCGCACTCCCACCTTCTCCCTCCCGGCTCTTAAATCCTGCGGCTAAAATAGCAGACCTGGAAACCACTTGAATTTGGTGCTTTGAAATCCGTCCAAGTATAGAATGGAAGGCAGCTTTGAGTTCAAGCCTGAACAAGAAAAGTGCGTCGAAATGAATTCTAGTCGAGCTTGCTGATTGGAGGAATGGTGAAAGAGCTCGTTTTGCTGTTTGTTGCGACACGATCATCTGAATGCGATTTGCGCAAAAACACTGTGTGCATCGCACGGAGTTTCTACGACGGGTTTGGGCTAGAAGCTTGCGATGAGGAAATACAGGCGCTTTATGACTGGGGAATTCAAGTGATTTCCAGGTCTGCAATTCCGGAATCAGCTACTGTTCGCCAAAAAAACACTGTTCGTCTCACATTTGCACTGTTCACGGAACCACGAATTCGGTCGCACGATGCGTATTGCACTGTTCACCGAATGGTTTCGTGCAAAACTGTCGCCAAACCGCCACGGTCAGATTCCGCTTTGCAAAACAAATGTTTTTATTCTGTTTCGTTTACTCTAAAGATCGTCATGTGCCAAGTTCAAGAGGAAATTAAACAGCCCTCTTGATTGCTATTATAGCCACGGGCTTTAAAGTGTCCTCCTGCTGGTTGAGTTTCGGAGAGAGATACTATTGGTATATGGAGATCTGTTTCTCTGTCTGTTGCTGCTTCCCGGCCATCTCGCCTTTCTTCCCCACCTTCTCCCTCTCAGCTGTTCAAGTGTCCTCCTTTTGCCCTGTTTCTCATCTGCCCTTGTCAACCAGGCTATGGTTGCGGCACTGGGAGACAGCAAGGACTACTCTCTTCGCCGCTACCTCGTGTTTGCCAAGGCCATGCGAGAAAAAGCGCATGTGAGCATTTCTGATCTGTATGCATGTGTGTGCGGGTGTGAGTGTGTGTGTGTGGGTGTGTGTGCGTGTGAGTATGTGCATGTGTGCACACTCTGTTGCGTATGTTTTATCACGCTGTGTTTTCCATCTGTGGCAAGGTATGAACCTTTCACCAGTCCACTGGGAACACCTTCCTGCCTTCTGGACCCGCTCTTACTCCCCCCTCCCTCTTGCTTTTTGTTTTTTGGCATGACAGGAGCTGAATCACCATGCAGAAGCAGGTTCTTCTACAGCTTCAAGAGGCAGCGCAGAGCAGGGCCATGTGAAGGATACGGGTACATCGCGGGAAAAGACCACTGATGACAGCACTGTTGAAGCAGCCGATGCTGTGAAAGTGGAGGAAAGGTCTTTCTCAAGGTTTACAGCATCTAATGTGGAGAAGGCACTTTGGTCAGCTACTGTTTTAGGACCTTCCACAGAGAAAAAGGAGACTGCAACAGGAAGTGGGAAGAAGAGAAGTGCAGGCTCTGAATTAGCTTCAAGAGCCAGAACAAAACGTTAGCTGTTAGCAGCTGCAGCAGGGTTCCCTTCATATAGTTGGCAGGGTGAAGGAAGAGAGGCTAGTGATTATTAGCCATACTCTGATTATTAGCCAGGCTCCTAACAAATGATGTAATATAAGATGTATGGCAAATAGGCGTTTTTGCGCCTTGTGCTATACACATCAAGTTCATGTATAAGTGATGCTTACAATCAGTATAATCAGTTATGTTGCGTGTGTATAATCAATTTAGGCGTGTGTTTCATGTATCAGTGATGCGTGTAATCTGAGTGCTGTACAGTGCATTTCCCGCCAAAACAGACACCCCAAAGATACCGTTCGCTTATTGTGATTGGCTAAATTACTTCAGCCTTGACATACCCTACGTCCTGGTACTTGTCAGGGCACACGCCCTCAGGTGTGGCGGTGTGACATAGGAAGTAGAGGGTGAGAGCTTGCTGCTGCCGCCATTCACCATTCAAGCACACTTTAGGAACCTAGGGTCTGGCCTTGAGATCTCAACCCTGCTTATCAGTGTAGTTAACGCGTTGCGTCAGTAGGTATTAGCTTAGCGTGTGGTAGTTCATTCTTAATGGCTCAACCTGCCATGTGGTCTTCGTCCTCTAGGGTCGTTCAACCGTCAGTGATCGGGAATGTCACTGGGGCTTCTAACACCACCGTTGAAAGAGCAGACGCTTTCTCGCAATCCCCCTCAAACTTTCATCAGAATTGTTCATCGGTAAGGCGTTTTTTATTTAGAATTCTCAGGGGAGCACAATGGTTCTCGGTTCGTGCTAGACCGAGGCTCTTTCTCTGGCCATTTTTCGTCACTTGACTCTCATCTCTGCTTGTCCTTGCAGTTGAGACCACGAACAGCACGCAAGACGTCGCCTAATTTCACACGAACGTCGTTGCGATGCGCTTTAACACCAGGATTTTACGGAAATTCAAGTTTTAAGCCTACCCCATTGCCCAGGCATGGAGTCGCCCGATCTTTTATGGGTAATGCTCGTACAGATTTATCCTTTGCAGAAGCCTTGCGCATGTTTTGCGGCTGTAACGCTCGATTTTCTGCTTCCGCGATGTATGCTCTGCAGTAAGTGCGACCTACTACGATGAAGATGACGAAGATCTTTTTGAATTGACATTCCTTCAACGCTTGCAGCGGGCATGGCGGATAATTTTTCCTCCGAGAAACCGTCTCCCAAGGTTGGTGATTTCGATCATTTTTACTTTCAAAGGTTTTCTGCCTTTCTAGGTTGCCGCAATCGCATGGTCATTCAAGCTGGTTTTGTCAGCAGCACTCATCTTGCATACTCTTCTCGTGTGGTGTTTCCTCTTGTTGAGCATCTCTGGATCAAGAATCTGATCCCATCTCTCTTACTTGTGAACCCTTGCAGCAATGCTGAGATTGCGAAGGAGCGGCTGCGTTTAGTTCTGTACACAGATCGTGGGGAAGTGAGTCCTGAAGTTCGAAGGCGTTTACGGCGCAAGATTATTGATGCTATTTCAGCAT